GTTTTTTTTTTTTTTTTTTTTTTTTTTTTTTCTTATATTCCTTTTTTGTTGTTTTATTTTATTCTATCCTTTTTTTTAAAATTCACATAAACATATGTGTTAATTAGATGGTATGTTAATGATAATTTATTTCTTTTAATTTGAAGAAGTATTCCTTATTATTCATTATATTTTAAAAATAATAAAACATAATAACAATATTACACGAAAATTATTAATTTAATCAAATGCAATATATATATATATATATATCTTTATATGTTTTAATATTTAAAAAAAAAAAAATAAAATTATAAAGGAGAGAGAGAGAAAAAAAAAAAAAAAAAAAAAAAAAAAAAAAAAAAAAAAAAAAAAAAAAAAAAAAAAAAAAAAAAAAAAAAAAACCTAAAGAAAAAAAATATGAACAAAAAGAGAAGTAAAATTTAAAAGCGACACAGTATAGTAAAAAAAAAAAAAAAAAAAATCTGTAACATATTTTTTAAAATAAACTAAAATTTGTTAAATTTATTGAAATACGATAAAGAAAAATAAAGATAAAATACTATAAAAAATAAAAATAAAATGAAATGAAATTAAGAATATTGTATTAAGTAAAAATATTTGTGTCTTATATATAGAAATACTCCTATATTATATATATATATATATATAAAAACATTCAACTCTTGTTTAATTTTTATAATTTTTTTTTTTTGATTTTTATGGGGATGATGTGAGATAATAAGAATGTTGCAAAATTTAATTTTAAAGAATGTGTTAAAGTTCAATTAATAAAAAAATTACTTGTATATTAAAATTTATCACATAAATATATGGGATATATAATATTAGCTAGTAGGTAAATTAATTATATGATATAATTTTGATAATTTAACAAAAATAAATTTGTTTAAATACCATTTTAAATTATATTAAAGGAGGTTGTTATTAATAAGTTACTAAATAAAGGAAGAAGTTATAATGTTATTATATCTCTTAATTTATATAATTTTTTTTTTTTTTTTTTTTTTTTTTTTGTGTGAATTTAGTTTATTTTAAAAAAGAAGAATTTATATCACTTTTAATAATGAAGATAACATATATTGTGTAAATAAAATAGTATAAATAAAAAGTAAATTTTAAGTTATACTTTAAGAATTAATTTACTGAAATATTTTGTGAATAACTTATTGTCACTTTTTTTTTATGAAATTTTTTAATTTTCTTTTACTATAAATTCTTTTTAATTCTTCATTTGCTTATTGTTATTATTATTTAATCATTTTTAACAAAAAAAAAAAAAAAAAAAAAAAATTATGAAAAAAATATTAAATGAATATAAAAATAACATAGTAAAGTTTCTTCAAGTTAACAAAAAGTTTTTCAGTGAAAAAACTTATGATGAAAATGAGAAACTTTTTTTTAATAACTTAAACAAAATATGGTGGGATAAGACCGAAAATGAAAACTTTTGTGATATTTTAGAAAAAATAATAGGAAAAAATTTATATAGTTTGCATGATTATAATAAATGTAGATTTGATTTTATTTTTAACAATTATGAATTTATATATTTTGAAAACTTCAAAAAACAAAAACAATTTAATAAAAAAATAAATATTTTAGATGTAGGATGTGGAGCAGGTATATTGTGTGAATATATTAAAAATAATATATATTATTTTTTAATTAAAAATAATATTATATCTTATAGTAACAATTCACCATTAGAAAAAGTAGAAATAAATATTGATGGTATTGATATATCAAATAATTTAATCGATTTAGCAAAAAAAAGACAAGCAAATGAAAAAGAACATTTTATAAATTATAATAATAATGATAATACAGTAAAAGAATATTTAAAAATAGAAAATAAAATAGAATATAATAAAATAAAAAAAGAAAATAGAAATATAAATATTAACCTAAATTACATAAATTGTGATATAGTTGATTTAGTAAATTCAAATAAATTAAACCAAAAAAAATATGATATAATAATTTCTTCAGAAGTTATTGAACATATATCTAATAATAAGAAAATATCATTTATAAAATATATATCTCAATTGTCTAAACCTAATGCGTTAGTTGTTTTTACTTCTATTAATAAAAATTTCTTATCATATTTTTATACCATAATATTAGCTGAATATTTAACAGGAATAATTAAAAAAGTATCTTATATAAAATAAATGATTACTATTAAAATATACTTTTTTTATTTTATTTTATTTTTTTATTTTAAAAAATATTAATAAATTACATTTTTTTTGTTTTTTTTGTTTTTTTTTTTAAAGGGAACTCATAATTATGAAAAATTTATTGATATCAAAGAGCTAAATATGATTTGTGAATATTTTAATTTAAATAATATAAATACAAAATATGTGATATATTTTCCTTTTATTCGAAATTATTTTACAACAAAAAAGTTGAAATTGCTTTATCTTTCAGCTTTTGTATACAAGCAAAAAAAGGTAACTTAAAAAAAAAAAAAAAAAAATAGTTCAAGTCGATATATTTTTTTATATAAATACTTTTTTAGTAATTTTATAATAAAAATTTATAATTCTACAAATTTTATTTACATTTTAATTTCTTTAAAGCAAATATTTTTCATTATATATATATAAAAAATCCTTATAACAAATAATTGAAAATTTTTTTATTTTAATTTTTTTTTTTTTTTTTTTTTTTTTTTTTTTTTTTTAA